TATTGATTTGTGGTTAATATTGGTTCTCACAGTTACCACAAACAACTCAGTTCTCCCTTGAATAGGCCCCTACCAAACCATATATATATATATATGGTTTGGTTCACATGAAACCAACCTGTTTTTGTGATAGCCGTGAGACCATTTTTTTACACTTGAAACTTCACAACAAAACGCTACTTTTTTAGAACGACTCTACTCGTATTGATGTCAAATCGTACAAAATCAACGTTACTTTGGAAACTATGCACTCAAACATGTGACCACAAGTTTTTTTAATTTATTATTTGGACTTGTTAACTACATAATTATGTTTGATTATTGTAAGTTCTTAATCAAATAGAATAAACTACGAGCTTAGAAATGAAAAAAAGAACATGATAAATGATTAATTGCATTCGCGAGTACAACGAATAAAATCTTAGTTCTGATTGAGTTCATGTAAGTCGGGAAGAGAGTGATTAATCGCGTTGGAGAGCGCAGGCACTCCTTTTGAACGTGCAATTCGGTCTTCGATTGAGTCGCTTCGATTAAACGGTCCTTTATTCGTACTTGGTGATCTAGCTTCTCGAACATTCTTCTCATGGTGAAGTATTTTCGCAAACCTAGTATTCAATTTAAAAGAAATATTCAAACCAATGTACATATCAAAATTTCAGTTAAAATATGAAATACCTTGTATAATTTAATATAGATGCAATAAGACGGTTATTTTGATAAAGTAATATACTTTTTTAAGGCCATCTCGTTGGTAGTGTGATAGTACGGTTCGGTTATGCCTGTGCCCAGATTCACTCTTGTCACCGGTTTTTTCAACAACTCCTCGCCCACTTTTACAAGATTCTCCAGGTTTTCTTTGGTCGCCAGATCCAAGGAAGCTAGATCTCCGCTTAAATTGTCATCCTAAAAACATAACAAAGAAATAACGTTTTAATGATTATAGACAGTTTGATAGATGCAAATGGATGTTTTGCTTTTTTTTTTTTTGATTAACCTGGATATCCAACCCCCTATGCGAGCCGACTAATCCTAAGACGACCACTTGCTTTGCGGATAGCCCGGAGTCATCGCATTTGAATCTCCATGCCCACAAGGGGATTTTTATTTCTCCTTGGATTCAAACTTGAGACCTCCGGACACTTTTGACCTTTGGAGTCTAAGCTCAAACCAATCAAGTATCACCCTTGTGATTGATGTTTTGCTTTTATAGTAAGTGAAAAGTGGAAAAACGGTTGTTTATATGAGCGAATACGGTGAATTAATGCCAGTAGGAATGTAGTCACATGGCTATACTACTCTTCATTAAAAGGGAGCAATGGCTTGCTTTTAAAGTCATGAACAACCAATTTGGATAATTTATTGTGATTCAACGGTTTTCATTTAAATATGTTAACTACGAAGTCTTAGAGACGCTCTTACATCAATTATTTTTAACTTATTGATAGAAACGGAAACTGAAAAATACCTGAATACGTAGATAATTTTCTTCTGAATGAAGAGCTTGGAAGACAGTAGAGATATGATAATCGACCATATCTCCACTCGCCTGAGTAAAAACATCCACCAACGGAGTTGAGCCTTCACCGGCCAACCACCCCAAAATACCCCAATTAGACGACTTTGTAGCATCATACCTCTCTTGAAATTTTTGCGACCCCGTTCCCAATGATAGGACTAGAAATCGGCCGTATTCCGTTGGCTTTATCGGAAAAAAATTGGGACTTCCTCTAGTTATTTCGTTTGTTACTTCACTTATTGCAACCAAAGTCTACAAAAAAATAAAACATCATTAGTCTAGTGTAAAATACTAAATACGTAGTTCACCGGTTTACTTTGTACAACTATCAGTAAAACAATAGATATATACTTTTCTATGAGTGTGTGTGTGTATATATATATATATATATATATATATATACACTTTTTTTGCATAATGATTGTTTACACACATTTACTAGTTAATAACACATACAGGATTGTTGGCAGCTACTGCACCATCAATAAGATTGAATTCTCTAAGCAAGTTTCCTTCAGAATCTTCGATTTGGAACGAATGTGAAGGAAGATAAGTTGGGGCTGCCGATGTTCCAATGCATATATCAGATAACTTGGCATCAAGACTCGAGTTTTTCTTCAACCAGTTAAACACGAATATCAGTAAGCTACAATTATTATAATTTTTTTGAACGAATAACTCCCCCATCAAGTTGATGGTTTCGTAAGCACATTGATAAATTTATACCTGATAGCTTGAGAAGATCATAGGCTGCATATATTTGATGTCAAAGGTTGGAATCACAACATTCGTTAATGTTTCATGGAGTCGTCTTTTTTGTAATTTTTCTTCAATAATTTTGTGTAGGTGTTCACCGTCGTATCTTGGTCCTGATAAAGCTTTCACCACTTTCGTAGCAGGAGCTAAAAGATTGCTACATATTGCATGAAAAGATGTATGATTTAAGATTGACCGATAACATAATTAACAGTGCTAAAAAAATTGTAGTTTTTTTTATCACTATAGAATTCGAGATCTGTTGATAACGTGAACAAAAACAGAAATTAAGTTGGTCTTTTCTTGACTATGGCAAAGGCACTTTTTGTGCCAAAGCTGTAAGTCGTTACAAAACTGTTATGTCTAATCACTTGTTTATTAATGGATAAAAACACAGTTATTGAAAAACGCTCCACAGTAAGTTTTCATCAACAAATCAGAATTAGAAAAAACGTAAATTTGTCGTCGATAATACATACTCGTCATGTGGAAAGATTTTAGGACAATGTTCAAGATAGAAATCTTTAACATCCTTAGCCGCGAAAACAGGACGGTTCTGTTCATTTGGAGTGGCTAACATACCCGTCACAAGACCACCAGTGCTTGTCCCAGCCATTACATCAAAATAATCAGCAAGCCGTGCATTCTCACCATCTAATTTCTGTAAACAACATCATCACACCATTACTTTCCATGATAAGATAAGAAAAAACAATGACTTCTAATAAACTAAACTGTAAATTTTACCTGTAATTCACTTTCCAAAAATTCAAGGATAACACTCGGAATGATTCCTCGTACTCCTCCCCCATCGATACTGAGAATCGTGATGAGGTTTCCATACGTCGGTGGTTGCAAAGGTGAACGCGGTTCTTCCTTAAACGACATGTTTCGTAATTTTATATATATGTATGTATATGTATGTATTTGTGACAAGGGAAAATAGAAATGGGATTGTGAAATATGAGTTTTGTGGTTTGATGTGAGGGTATATAAAGAGATGATTCCAAGTTGCATATTTGTTGGAAGTGTCATTAAAAGGGTTTGACATTTCAACTTATGGGACAACTAAGACTAGTCAAATCTTTGACTTTCATATTGCCATAGAGAAGAAGTTGTCAAGAAAATATTGGTAAAGTGTCAAAATCAAGTCATTTGCAGGATTGTTTTTAAGGGATTTAAATTTTATAGAGGGATTTGGATTGGAATGGATTTAAAATTATTGGTATGTTTGGTTTGTAGGATTTGAAATGTAACTGGATTCCATTATCTATAAATAATTATAAAAATAATTAAATTACATTTTTATTAATCGATTGTTACAAAACAAATTCTAAAACCTTATTTCATACAATTTTACAAAATCCCATGAAATCTCGAACACCTCTAAGGATTTCAAAATCCTATCTTTGTAGGATTTTAACTAAAATCTGAGATTTCAAATCCGAACAATCCAACAAATCAAACATGGAATGGAATGGATTTGAAATTCATATCCTCCCAAATCCATCCAATTTCTGCAAATCAAGGAGGACCTTAGTTTTTGTTTATTTGTTTAAGGAAAAACTACAAAATTAACCATCATATTTTTATTAATTAAATTCTTAAATTTTATTTTGAATAAATGAATATTTAAACTTTCTAGAAATCAAACATATAAATTATGCTTTATATTATTTTAAAAAATAAATAATGGATAATGAAAATGATGTTTTATTGATTAGTTGTAGTTTTCTATTGTTTTGTTGATAAGTGGAAAGAGAAATAAGATATTTTTTTATTTTTATACACGTAAGAATTTATACGTTTAAAAAATATTCATAGACTTAATCATTCGAAATATGAAAATTCGTTAGGGTTTTTTTTTCCGTTTTAATAATTTCAATGATTTATTTGTTTAATTTCAATAAATTCAAATTTTTATTTATTAAAAAAAGTTTATCAATTTAATTGTTTAAAATATGTAAATTCGTTAGGCTTTTTTGAACTTTCTTCCTTTTTAAATGTGGTATACAATTCAAGAATTTTTATATATTATTTTTTATCCTATTAAAACATGTTTGGAATAAAATAAATTAATATAAAAAGCAGTTACATAGCATCCAATCTAATTCGGTCATTTTCATCAATTGTTTATAAATTAAGCAAAAATTAAACGAATAAATCATAAAGCTGATTAAATAAAAAGCAATAAAACCCCAATTTTACATTGGTTGTTTTTATGGTTATATACAATTTTTTTCGATGAGACAAAATAATTATTATAATATAAAATAAAATTTTATTATAATTACCAAAAATACAAATTTTGAATAAAGTGTAAAACATCAAGAAGTTGACTTTATAGGAAGGTTTTTGTGTTCCAACATTATTAATCATCAAAATTCAAATTTAAATTTCAATATATTACTGTAATCTCTTAGTTTTCCGACAATGATGTCAATGATAACAGAAACAAACCATGGTTGTAGCACCATTACGGATCTTAAAATACTTTTGACACAACGATGGACGACATCAATGGTGGCATTAGTCACCACTCGTTGTTCCTTAGTGGATCCACCCATAGGGATGGTGATTTGCCCTGACCCGGTGGGGAACCCGGTTCACCCGACCCGAACGGGGACGGAGATTCCCCGCTAAAACGGGCCCCGGGACCGGGGATCCCCGGTAGACTCAAACTAAAGGATAATATTTATGGGGTTTAACCGGGTTTTACCGGGTTTTGACCGGGGATTGTTAGAGATTTGATCGGGGACGGGATGATAATCCCTGTACCCGCCGGGGACTGAGGCTGGGGGACGTTACTTCAAACGGGGGCTGAGGATTACAAAACCCGCCCCATCCCCTCCCTGTTGCCATGCCTATCCATCCATAAGGTTATATACAAGGTTTTAAAAGTTGTGAAGTGTGGCGTGACGATGAGGTTAAGTCTCAAGCTTTACACGTCGTGGCAAGAACTCGGCGTTTTTAAAGACATGATATAAGATGACGAATTTGTATGTCATATATAACTATACATACACATATACGTCTTTCTATTTATTATTCAACGAATTAACGATATTTAAAAAAATTTACATTCACATCAGAAGAATAATATATATATAAAATATGTGATTAGATATTTACAATAGATTTTGGAAAGGTTTTACAACTTTGTTCTAAATATGAGTTTGTAAAGTGTATGAACCCATGAAATTGTGGGTGATGTGATTAGGTAATTTGTGAGTGAAAAATTTAAAGTTAAAATTGTAAAAATACGAACGCTTAAAAATAAAAATAAGAAATTGAAAAAGAGCCATGCCTTGTAAAACAGGCACGACGATGCACACCTCGAAACGCCATGCGTGAGTCATGTCTTACACAAATGCCATACATCTTACCGTAACAGCGGATACGCGTTTTACTCAGCAATGACACTCACCATGACACATGCCTACCTTCTATAATCCTCGTTATATATATATATAGACTTGGAATCATGTGAGACCAAAGGTTTTCCGTGAGCCCATAAGACCAATTCTCAACCTTTGGATTAGATCTATATTCTGAACATTCATAATCACAAAATTGTCACTGTACAATTTTAAACCATTAGATCATTAGCTTATAAAATTGATCAATGAATATAAATTAGTCTTACAGGTCTCACATAAACCCAATCATAGATATATATACTTGAACCATTCAACGTTTTCTTATGAGATATCAACTTGATTCACAACAAAATATAATATCATCAAATCAAATGCTTACCATACAAACCTGCAGGTTGCTTCTATGTTTGGTTCTGAGTCACAGAATAAAAAATGAAAATGCAAAACAATGAAAATAAGAATAATATTTATTCTCTTCTTTTAATCTGGAATGAAATTTTAGGCTTGTGGAGGAATTAACTTGTTATATTATATAAAATTAAATTTTTTTTAATTATTTTTATTCTCATTAATTACTGTGTAATACCTCTAACAAAAAATATTATAATTTTAAAAAAAAATAACTACTAAGACTTCAATAATTAATAACAACCCTAATAAATACCCATGGTGTTGAATTTTTAATATGAAGACCATTTCTCACCCCCAAAAAGAAATTCTATGAATACAATTCAATATTCAAGCAAATGACCATTCATTTTCTATCTTCAAACTTTAATGGATATGATTTTAAATTCTATGTTGTTTTTTAGACCTTCAAACTTAATCGATTAAGTCGTATATGTTCAAATTTGGTATAAAAAAAATAATTACGGGAAAATGACTGACATCATTTGCAAATACGATCCTCTTTTTTTTTTTTTTTTAATTTGTTTGTAAAAGTGGGGTTGTTGATGTCAATTGAGTAGGCATGGAAAAGAGAACTTGGATCTGAAAGTGAACGTGATGTTGGATCCAGTTTAACTGGGGAATCCTAGGTTGAGAGGGATGGGGAATCCCCAAATTTGTTAACTCGAGGGTGTGGTTGGGGATGGGGAATCCTCTGAACCCGAGTATTTGTTAATATGTTTTTATATGTAGTACATGTTTGTAGGCGAAGGATCGTGTGAGAAGGAAAGTCATGGTGAGAATCGTAAAAAGAGATTTGAACTCTTGATCATTTTTAATCTTATAGTCACCTATGAATTGCGCTTTGAAAGAGAATTAATCTGATGCACCTCATTAGTGTTGACATTCAGTTAGAATTAATACAATGGGTGGAGATCCCTTCTTAAACTTCTTTCTATAACTTCTTTTTTCATCGAAACTCAACCCTATGTTTGTATGTATATAAAATAAAATGACAAATCAAAGAAACATACATAACAGATAAATATAATCAATTTGCGATGATGAGAAACGTGCAAAAGATATTAAATACTGGTTTGAGTGAATAAACATGCAAATATATATTATAATATTGGTTTGATTGTTCTTGTTGAAACTTTCGGGATATTACGTGAATGTATTAAATTTCTTTTATTAAGTATTGTAATTGTTATATTTAACTTCGAATTACCCTTATATAAATATAACAATTAAAAATTGATTAATTAAAGCTTTAGAATAATACATCGTTTAAACGTGAAATTGACGTTCATAAAAATATTATAGAAAATAATTAAATTTTATATGTATTGTTGATTTGTACATAATATTTTAACACTTGTCTTCTTAAAAAGTTAAGAGGTTTTAAAAATTAAAACTTAATGCTTTATAGCATCGTATAGCATCCATAAATCGAAAATCTATGGATCTGCCTCGTTGGTCAAGGCTCATCTGGTTTAAAGTAGAGGAGGCAAAAAATGGGTCCTAGATCGGGTAGGGTCGGTATTGGTCTAGCTGGTCTCGTTCCTAACCAGAAATCTTAGGACTGATCATAGGCCCTATAACCGGTTGCGAGCCCGACCCAGTTAAAAAAAATATTTTTTACATATTTTTTTTATTAATGTTTGTTTAATTACTGAGTTTTGAAATTTAGCATTGAAATACACTTTGACTAATGCATTTACATAAAAAAAACTTAAAATTCTTGTATTATGATTAATAAAAACTTATAAAAAATTGAAAAACGGTCATATACATAACCTGTCTCAACTGGCTCTGAACCATCAGAAAATAACCAATCCTTAACGGTCCTTACTAGTCCTGGGCCAAATGAGACAAAATTTGACCATCCCTAGTAGAGATGGCCAAATGGCACCAGCGGAGGACCGGGGTTGAGACCGACTTAGGACCGGCCTGACCCGGGACTAGAGATGGCCAAATGGGCCCGGCCCGGCCCGTAACCGACGGAGGACCGGGACCGGGACCGGAGAGGGACCGGGACCGACCGGGACCGGTAGGGACCGGTTGAGGGACCGCCGGTTATGATCCGGTTAGGGTTTTTGACGTTTTTTGGGACCGGGA